ACTCAATGGGTCGAGATCGAGCCTCTTGGTGTCACCGTGTGACGGAAAGCAACAGTCACAGTTCAGTCCAAGTGTGTCTCGTAGAGCTGTTATCCTTATCAGGTACCTAGTTGTTCACCTTATTCGGAAATGTGGAATTCCTCTCAAAAACGATTGAAAAGGCTCCTATAGACTAAGGTTTACACTCATTTAAATGCTCTATGTGATTTCCAGCGCTCAATTAATACCCACGTATCTATAGTGCTAGCCCTTGGGCAAAGCGAGCCCATCAGATGAGCCTCGATAATTGTTATGATACCACCAATATCTGAACAAGACGGACTTCGTTACGTCGCCCCCTATGAACGGATATTAGAGATCAGAATTAAGAAGCGTTGGGAAGGGAAGACCATCGAGCAGCTCTTTATGGAGGAATTTGCCTTTTTACATTATGGAATAAGAGAGTGAGTACTGAGGCATACTTTTATTGTGGAATTGAGATTATTAGAGGGGAAATGGTGGCAATCTCGACTGGAGATTCTCGAAATCGTATATTCGCGATGGAAGGAACTCGAGGAGTTCTCTCAGATTTCCCTCGAGACTTCCCATTAATGGCCACCTGAGAGTTACTCGTGGAAATAAAGAGAGGCGAATAGATGGGGACTACCGAGTCGCCGCCGGTGAGAGTCTCTGGTTGGAGTCGACAAGTAAGCATAGGAAACGCCCATGTACAACAACACTGACTGAGCCCCAGTCACTGAGGGGTGTTACGCTAACTTTCATCAGGCGTGGAGAATCCAATACCCTCCCTCCCCACAATAGCAGTTTTATTCGAGACAGAGGAGCTACTGGCCGTCAATAAACCTTGCGGTTTACCGGTGAGTCGTTTGGATTCGTGCATAATGAGGCATGCTCATTGTCGCATTAGGTCCACGAGTGCGTCGGCTATTATCATAATACTTGCATCAGGATTCTCGAGGCTTCTCGTGGGTACCAGCTTTACCCGTTACATAGACTTGATAGAGTCACCTCTGGAATAGTAGGAACCATTTCTTCTTCTCGACCAGAATCGCTCAAGTCTCGGGCTCCAACTTGGGGCGGTTGTTGTTTCTCTTGTACAGGTGGTTTTCGCCAAGACCGCCGATGCAGCGCGGAAATTCGAGGCGAATCAGCGGAGTTGGCCGGTCACAAAGACGTACATCGCGCGGGTGACAGGGAGATGTTCTGTTAGTGAGGGTAGTTTGGCAGACCCTGCGCTCGATCCCGGTTAGTGGCTTTTTCTCATCGTTCTTTTCTCGTCAGTGGTCTCCCCACTCCGGTGGGATCGCGAGAAGGGTGTGGTCGAAGTTAGTCCGGAGGGCTCACCGTGTCGGACTCGGGTGAGGGTAATGAAGTATCTACCTTTAGCCAACGAGAGTATCGTTGAATGCATCCCAATTACCGGGAGGAAACATCAAATTCGGGTGAGATCGGGGATGACTAGTGAGCATCACTGTCGTGTCCAATGCCCCTCCAAGAGAGAGCTTTCATTGCAAGATTCTCACAACGATATTCGCTGGCGATAGGCAAATAATACTCGAAAATTTTCCACGGCGTGACTGTTTCACGCCGTGAAAAATTCACAGTCGAATGTTTCACGTTGAAACACAAGTAGCTGGAGTGACCCATCTAACGATGCTTGGATCCGTCAAAATACCTTCAGGTCCATCTCCGGTCCATCGGTGTGCCCATCGTGAATGATGAGAAGTATGGTGGACACTATGACGCTGAGCATCCGTTCGCCATCCCTCGCGTACCTGGGAGAGAGGGCAGCAGTGCTGACATCACCATTCCACGAGGAATTTTTTTGCACGCATACTCGATGCGATTCAATGACGGCACAGAGTTGCATTTACAGACAGACGTCCCTGGCTGGGCCCTATCAGTTGTATGAACTGTTCATAATTCTTACTAGCTCATCTCATTTGATACAAGTTGGGTTCAACGAGTCAACCCTTGCTGCGGGTCCCGCGGACAAGCACTCAGCTGTGGATCTTTCCTTGTCACTGACGTCACTTTCTCTCGTCGTTGGACCAACGGAGTGACTCCATCAGTGACTTTCGCCGGAGCATCGGCTCCATTAGCCCCTCCGAACTAGATGCCTGCGAGTGCGTTGTACCGTATACGACTCGAACAAGTGATCCTGCGCAATGAGAGGCCTGTGAACTCCTACAGCACAGGTTTCTTCTCGCTTGCCAAGCTGAGATCTTCAGTGATGATCTTCCATCTTTAGAGAGGTCGTGCGATATTATAGCTTCGCTAAAGAGGCAGCTTGAGATTGGTAGCACGAATTTGGTGCCAATACGGGGTAGGTTGCTATCGCCAAGTCTGGTATATCTAATACGAAGAGTGAAGCTAAACTTCAGAAGCGCTAGCTGTAGCTCACATTGCATACTCCTCCATTGTGGGAGGACACGTCTATCGCGCTTTCGAGCGGCTGCTTGCTCTTCAAAAAATTGGAGTTCAAATTGGCGATAACAATCACTCGCCGCGAGTGACTCGCGGACACACCTCTTTCCTGCTTTCGTCGGAGCTATGGCTGCGGAGAAGGCCAGGATAACCGCAGTGTTCATAGATTGCTAACCTTGTTCCGGTATGTGCAGTAGTTCCATTGCACGTAGTGACTATTCAAGTAACATCAGTTTAAGGATTTATTGAGATCAGGCCGGAACTGTTTTTACTGACTACGATATGACAAGCTCAACATTGACCTGCGAGTATGTTATTTTGAAATTCTGTCAACAATACGCACTGTACTGGCTTCGTTGTGAGCTTTTACCACTCATTGACAATAGCGTATTGCATCCAGCCTGACTGATTCATTCCGGTACTCTACCAATTGAAAACATCACTGGCGGGGTTGTGGGCCCGCATCCCGAATCGGCTTTGCCGATACGTGTATATCCTTTGCACCATGGATCACTTCCTCAAGCGACTCCTGCGGCACGTGTGCGGAGAGCCAAAAGATTCGGTACTCAATTTAACTGCTCTGAAATGTGTCGTTCCAAGTTGTCCAGATGGTTCCAGATATCGGTTTAGCCGCGTTCGATCAACGGCATGTTCGATATTCCTCTCAGTGCGTGTATGACAGATTTATTCTTTTCGGTGATGCCCCCAACGAAGTTGTGTTCGGTATGCTCACTTGAATTACGGGAGAGGTGAGAATGCCAGTGGTATGCTCTTTGCCTGTCGCTCAATCTCGTTGGGAGTTGTTGTGACGGTATCTGGATTTGTAGGACTTCCAGTTCCCGGGTTCCCAGTGGGAAACTGAGAGAAACCTGAGAATCTGGGGACTGGACCATAGCTCAGCGCGCGACGAGGGCTTCAACCGTCGAAGCACTTGTCGCGTGCGTCGATGTTCGACGCGCTACGAGATTCAACCAAATCAATGCAAATCAAACGATACCGCTGGAGGGATCAATGGGCAGTGCCCATTGGGAATAGTCAACCGATAATAGTCAACCGTAGTGCCCATTGGGCACTACGGTTAACTATTCTTGCATTTAGGATGAGTAACTCAGGGTGAATTACCGAGGATCTCGATCCGAGATATATTCAACCAGCATATGGTCACCAAATTGTTGACTCGACAACTCTGATGTCAAATTGACATTGTCAACTAGCACATTCCACTGGCATGAACTCTCCTATCGTGAGACAAAGGTCGCGAGATTCATGCTGTGGGAGCATCCTACTGTTACTATTTTGGCTGAATCCGGGAAACTCTGGCCGCCATGCTCAAGCCCAACCAGGCCTGGCAAGAAGTTTGATATTGGACGCCACAGCGCAGGATCGCTTCAAACAGTTCTGACTCGGAATTTCTGAGTACTTACTACAGTGAGGTTCTATAATCTACTTCTCAATTACTCATCGTCATACTTCCTTATCGTCATTGTTCTGTTGACTCATTCTGATGACGATCTATTAATCCCGAGGCCACGCTAATAAATGATAACCTCATGGCCAACAAATTGTGGGCCACAATCTCCTGTCTATCGTTCTCATAAGAAATTATGCATGATTTGTTCCGTAGTTCGACCAAGTTTCTCGCCCGGATAGCATCATGTCAATAAACCAGCCCTATTCACAGATAGACAATGCTACGCTAGAAGGTGCACTGTTCGTGTAAGTGCACAACAAATCACGGGTGATGGATTATGAAGATCCGGGGCCCATTTCACAAGCGTCCTTAGATAAGGACGTCTTTTCGTATAGGATTTTAACCTTAGGACGTCCTTACCTAACTAAGGCTATTTCACTAGATTTTCCTTACCTAACGTTAGGATCCTATACTTAAAGACGTCCTTACCTAACGTAAGGATGTGCTATCTGAGGATATTAGGAATCCTTACGGCAATTAAACACAACGTAAAATGTTATATAACCGCGATCCGAACCAAGATCTCCCAAACATCAAACACAAACTTTACCACTCCACCATTTTATACTTACTTCTAACGAAATACGAATCGGTTCATCGAAGCATGGACCACAAAGGTAGTGCCTCAAGGCGCCATTCAGCAGATTTAACAGATATAACCACTTTTATTAACAACTGATACGCGTAATGGATCTTGACGAAGCGGAACTAGGAGATACGAAAGAGGGCACTCATGGCTCAACAGGAAGCTTGGGTAGCTTGGCAGCAAGCTGGTAGAGCGTGGGGCGAAGTTTCAGTTTCTGCTAAGAGGGCCTTTTCTGCTATGGAGGAGTCCTGCAGTAACAAAACGCCTGACTCTAGCCAAGATGAGTATTTGTAAGTAGTTTCATATGAAGTTTCAAATGAGTATCGAAATTATTGTCGAGTTTTGTTAATAGTTGTAAGATTTTTGTTTAAGTTACAAATTAATTTAAAAATGTACATGCAGAGTTTCGAACCAACGATGTAGCGGAGCTGGCTGATTACCAACCTGGTTGTTAACACAAGAACCGGGCATTTCTGCAGACAGATCGCTAAGTTATCCTTGGGGTGGAAGGGTTGAAGAATCAATGAGGGAAGAGGGAGAAGAACCCAACTACGATCTTGAGCCAAGATGGCTACAGTCGTCTTACGATCACTAGTGTCCCAAAGGCTTGTGCTTACTAAGCCAACCTATGTCTAAGGGACGACTAATGGGATCGACAAGGACGAAAGTAGCGAGTGTAACAAAGCAATATGATCATAGAACTGCAAAAGAGAACGAATTCGACGCCTAGCCGTTTCAGCCGTTTCAACAAGACGACATGAAACTGCCTAGCGGAGCGAAGCGATCGCTACACTGCCGCCGCCGCTAGACGGAGTTGACGAAGCATATTACGAGTAGGAGGTACTCTATACTTGAGGCAGACGATATCGCGTAGAGTCGTTCTTGGAATATCCATCGTCTCACTACTCAGAACTGCAGGTTCGTCAACTAATCGGTCAGCTTCAATCATACGGTTAGTAGGGTCAACAAAAGGGATAATAGTAACAGCATTCTCGTCGCAGTTAACGATGTAACCTGCAATTGAGGTGTAGGGGAAGTAGCGATGACCGGGATCCACAAATACCCTTATCGAACCAATCTCAAAGATCCTGTCATCGTCGGGTTGTTGATCTCATTGGGAGGTATGCTCCTCTATATCACCAGTAGGAGCATTTGTAGGACTTGTAGTAATCTGTGGAGAGTCAGTTCCAGGACTATCGTTTGCATCAGGTTGAGGGGGCTCTTCCACGACATCGTCAGGACATACACCATCATCGCCATCATCATACTCGTGGAAGGGCTTCAGGTTAGTAGTTGCAGCCTTGAAATCTACATCGTTGCGACGAATAGTTGTGACACTTCCGCGTGTCTCAACAACCGGGTAGGGACCCTCCCAGCTCCAACCAATGAACTTTCCGGGCTTCCTTGTCCAGAGTAGGACCTTCTGACCAGGACGAAGATCGAATAATCGTCTCCTAGATAATGTAGCCATACGAACTTTCTCACGTAGATCACACCAGATAGAGGTCCAACGCTTCCACTTGGTGACTTGTCTAGCCTTCATCTCATTAATGAGCTCATTCGAATCGTCGAATAGAGGAGCCTCCGGTGGAAGATTCTCGTGGTAGTTCTCGCCCAGGAGGTCGTCTTCTCTGGGATCCAACTCGGGGATCCTCGGGTTAGTGTACCAACACAAGGCATGAGGGGACAAGTCGTCATCAGTCGTGAACGGGGTGATATTCCACGCTCGTATAGCTCGGTAGAAGGGGATCGTCCAACTAGTAAAGTCGGCGTTATCAGGATCGTCGAACTGGACACATTTGTTGATGTACGCATGTAGATCCTTGTGTGGACGTTCAGAAGCACCAGCCAAAGCAGGAGAATCTCTTGGCAACACTTTTAAGCAGATCGAGTGGCGATCGCAGAAGTATCTGAATGCCGAACTGACGAGTGAGGAATCTTGAGCAACCAACAGTATTTGTGGCCAGTCAGAGCTGTGGAACAAGACCTCAAGCTTTCGGATAACCTCAGAAGCTAACTTAGATTTGCATGTAGTGGCCCGTAAGTAGTTGGTAGCCATATCTATCACAACCAGCCCGTAGTTCTGACCGTCGGGGTCTTCACTTGAAGGATTCGCGGATGTGGAGCCACTGGCTCCGCTACATACTCGGTAGGGACCGGTCATGTCAACAGCACATACACGGAGACAGCCAATAGCACCAGGCCAAGGAATAGATCCCATGGACTGACGTTGTACACGATCAGCTCGAGCAAACTGGCACCGTTCACAGGCATCTACATAGCGTCGGCAATCACGAGCGATACCATGCCAGAAGTAGCGTTGCTTGAGCAGCTTCAATGTACCGACTCGTCCGCGGTGTCCCACTGCATGCGCTTTAGCGATCAATTTCTTCTTCAACTCGTCGTTGTGGATCACCACTTGATGTCGAGGTGTAGTCTTCACATCGTCCACCGAGTCGACGTCTATACCCACGATACGAACGACTAAACCATTGGGTAGAACATCATAATATGGACTTGCTCGGAAGTCGTCGAT